TTCAAATGCCCCACTGTAACAAGAAATTAAGCGTTCAAATGCCCCACCTTCATATGAAAATTATGAAACAGTAAATACAAAAAGTACATAATATACGGAAATGTTTTTCGGCAGGATAGCGAAATTCACTTAAAAAGTTTGGAAACCTTATGGAAATTTATGGAAATTTTGTAGTACATACCTTCAAATGAAGCACATAGCTTTTCCATGCCTGTTTCTTTGAGCCAGTTTTTCACAAAATTGAGGCTGTTTCCCTCGAAATCTGAGAAAACTGTATTTGCCACTATTAAATATGAAGTCTTTTCTGTGCATGCAGGAAGCACGCGAAACGGGCAAAATTTTAAGACTTCTGATTCAAATTCCCCACCCTTATCAAATGCCCCACCATATGGAAGACTAATAGAACATCAAATTCCCTACTCCCTGGAGAAGACTTGAAGTCAAATTCCCGGGATGTGCCGGGGGGGGGGGATGTTGAAGTTTCGAATTGATCGGTACATTACCACCACCATATTCACCACTACTATTATTACCATCCATATTATTACCACCATCCATATTATCACCACGTACTACGTGAAAACTAACACAATCTCCACCACTACATGTACCATCATCACCACAATCATCATCACCACCACCATCATCACCATCATCACCATCATCGTCACAATCCATACCATCATCATCACAATCCATATTATCATCATCACTACCATTATCATCACCACCACCATCATCAATCTAACATACCCAATTATTCAATATAATTTCTAGATGTCAACCAGCAGCCAACAAGCACAAAATCAAAAGCTCAAGAAATCTTAGACAAATACACATTGTCTTTCGAAACAAATACCCTACATTCTATCCGTCGTTCTGACTCCAGATTCAACTGGCATTTTCTGGTGTTTATACTGAAAGATGGTACAACATTACCCGCACTGCATTTCCACAGTGGTGGCACAAGAGAGTTTATTCAGCATTTGAATAGATATATATGGCTTACAAAGTGAGAATAGAACATTTCTTCTTATAAATCCTTACGCACATAATGGCAGGATGAATTAATGACTAAATTTATAAATAAAGTTAGTTTAGTTTAGGTTTCCTTCTGTAGTAACACTGGATCAATAAGAGATGAGCCTTACTGAACCTCTAGGAAGAACATTTTTGAACTGATAGAGTTATACAGTATAAATAAAGTTAGTTTAGTTTAGGTTTCCTTCTGTAGTAACACTGGATCAATAAGAGATGACCCTTACTGGACCTCTAGGAAGAACAGTTTAGAACTGATAGAACTAGTATAAATAAAGTTAGTTTAGGTTTCCTTCAGGATCAATAAGTGATTACTTACAGAATGAATATTTTTCTAGGTCTGCAAGCAATCCAAAGTTATTTGTTGCATGCAGCGAGCATGATCATGCTTTGAAAAAATCTCTGGATCATTTACAGTTGTTTGGATCAGATAGTGCAGACATGTTATCTGTAAGTATATAACTTCTGAAATTCCCAGATTTGTACTCATTATATTACAGCATTTGATGAACTATCAGGAATATATCAGGCATGATTTGTTTCCAGATAAGGTGAAGCAGTTAATTAATAAACCGGAAAAAAACAATGTTTTTAAAAACCGTAGGAAATTTAATCTAACTTTAGTACATTACTACATTTTGATATAAGTTAAAAAATTGGGCTTGATGTTTTTCGGTTTTTATCCTGAACCACCTCACCCTATTCCCAAAACCATCACCAGTATAGATCACAATATTCTAGCTAGCTTGTCTGGATAGTTCATCTTGTGTTTACACTGAGACTGATGATCTGTCTCTAGTTTAATTAAGTCATCATCATCACCACCATAATCATTAAGGCCCATTTACCCTTGCAATGGACCTTTCACCTTTTGACTAAAATTTAGATTTCAACAAGTCTAGACAAAACTTTTATCACAGCTTGAAAGAGCATCACAAAATTAGTAATATTCCGAAGTTTCGTTGCGAAATGTTGTAAAATGCGGATAATATAGCCTTGCGAAGTTTGCAATTTTCAGTCATTTTGTATTACGCGCGGGAAATACATACCTCCTTCGGAAAAAGGGTATGTTTTTCCCGTTTGTAATCTAAAATGACTGAAAAACGGCAAACTTCGCAAGGCTACCAGGTGATCTCGTGTTCGTATTATAGCCAATCAGCGCTCAGAAAGGGTTGTCCGAATAGAAATCCATTTTGATGTATTCAGTCA